CGGTTTATCGAGTTTGAGTTCAAAATATCAAATTGAGAAGTTAAACTTTCAAATTGGTTGAGTTGTTTAATATTTCATTGTTAACTCCTAAAAGTATTAACGTTTTGAAAACAAAAAAAGGCTCGTTAGAAATATTAAATAGAAAAAAAATGCTATCTGTTTCTAGAAGTGATATCCACTTCCAGACGAAGACTCAATTTTTCAAAACTGGGCCGATACACTCGACACAACTCGTGAAAACAGGGGTCGGGCATCTGGTCAAAAAAAACGTTCGCGCCGAGAAAAAAATTGGGCAAAGTTGCAAAATGTACTTGCGAAAACTTCGGTGCAAGCATCAATAATTCAGCGGAGTTCAGACTTAACCTAGCTGCAATGATTACCATTTTGTGAAAAAAGAAATATTTTTATTTTTTTAGTTTATCAAATTACTAGAACATTTTAGTTGCGACTGACAAATATTTATTTGCATGTATCAATCTGCAATTGTAGGTTTTAGCGTTGGTCTTTTTTCAGAACCTTGCCAAGTTTTTCATCCGTGAACCCCGCATGAGTCTTAGAACTGATGTTTAGTTATGTTTTTCAAAAGATGCATTTTGAGCAAGCATCTGAATTTTTACCTTTTGTTTGTTAATTCTTACCTTTCGCCGACACGCTCGACACCATTCGTGACTCAAAGGGTCGGTCATCTGGTCAATAAAAAAGCTCGCGTGGAAAAAAAGGCGTGCAAAATTGCAAAACGTTTTCAGTCAATTAGTTTGATAAACAGAACGGAATGTTCCGGCGTATTTAATGATGAAAATTTCAAGTATGATTTTTGTGTACCCGCATACTTAAACAAGAGTAACCTGTTGACATGCAAGTAGCACACTGTGCTCCAAAACTGTAATTTTTCCAAACTTTTTATCTCAAAATTTTAGCCCATTTCTAGGGCAGCAGAAGCCGAATAGAATATTGTGCATTATGGGAAACTATCAGCGTAATTAAGTTAGGAAGACCGGTACAAAAAACATATACTAGGAGGATGATTAAATACCTGCTCTGCTGAAAATTCGCTGTAAAACTGGAAAAAAACAGACCCGAAAAGCTTTTTGTCAGCTTCAGCATAGCAACATTAAAAATAGTTCTTCGAAATTTACTTGATTGATTCATTTCTGTACTTCATTTCGCTGCTTGAAAATTTTATTTACTTCAACTGAAATCAGGATGAAAAACTAACAACTATTATGTTCCTTTCCGCTCCTGCGAGAGTGGTCAGAAAAATATAACGATTCAAAATTATAGAACATCCGCATTGAAGTTTCAAGCGCAATAATCTTAAAAAATGCTTTTTTATAAACTGTTTCTTAAAATTCAAAATTAATCGCTTCTTTTTGATAAGAAATGATTTATAATGCCAAAATTTTTTGGAGCAAAATTTTGTTTTGTATTACGAGACCATTCTGTGCATTGTAAGCGGATTCCGCAACAGGCCTAAATCAGATTTGTTGCGGAATCTGAAACATTAATACAATTCTTTGATCTTCTTTGCTGTTTTGGATTCCACAAACAAATACCTAAAACACTGTACCGTTCAAAATCGCTCTAAAAATAGGCAAATTTGCGAAATTCGCAACTGTATTTGCGGAAAGCAGAACAGTTTGTGGAATCCACAAACAAATGATAAGACATTTGAATCGCTTAATTGAGCTGTTGCGGAATCCGCTACTGTAAGTGGAATCAGCAAATTGTAAGTGGAATCCGCAAACTGTAAGTGGAATCAGCAAATTGTAAGTGGAATCCGCAAATTGTAAGTGGAATCCGCAATTTGTTTGCAGATTCCATTTACATTTATGTTTATATGTGGTAACGTTTTAATTCATATCTTTTTTTTACTAGCTGTTTACCAACAAGTTCAATCTCAGTTAATTTGATCAGCTACCAGTCCCAAATCCTGTCACCAACTTCGATCTCACTTTCTGTAACCCAACTTCGACCCCAATTCCTACCCTGTCACCAACTTCGATCTCAATTCCTGTAACCCAACCTCAAAACCGATTCCTGTAACCATACTTCGATCCCAATTACTGTAACCCAATTTCGATCCCGATTCCTGTAACCCAATTTCGATCCCGATTCCTGTAACCAAACTTCGAGTCATTCCTTCAACCAAATCAGTTCATTTCAAGCCATTCAATTAAAATAAAAAAAATTTAATTTAGCTTTTTTGAAATTTTATCAAAATGCAAAACCAGAACATAGTTTAATAAGGCATTTTTCAGGACTATATGTTCGTGCTTTTGAACTTAAAATTTAATTCCGTTTTATTTCAATTTTTGGTAGTTTTTATCTAATACTAACAACTCAAAATGGTTAAATAGATCAATTACTCCCTGCGAACAAGTTTATTTGAATTTACGCTTGTAAATACTGAATCTCAATCACAAACTCCCAAATACTGAATCACAATTACTGAAATCCAAATACTGACCTAATTCGGCGATATGTCAACCCAATTATCGAATTAACCCAATGAACTTATTCGGTGTTGTGTTTCCAAAACTATGATCCCAAAAACTGCTAGCAAATACTAAAGTGTGACATCCATCGATTTAGTTAACTAATGTTTTAAAATTTGTTCGTGGATTCTGCTGACAATGGTTAAGTCCTTGCTTTTAAATTCCGCAAGTGCATATGCAAGTTCAGTAATAAACAAATTTCTGAATTCCTTTACAGTTTGAGGATTCCGCTTATTAATTTTGCGGAATACACTCACAGTCGCGGAATCCAGAACAACTAGCTATATTTGCTTGTTGTGGAATCCGCAACAAAACAAATGTGCCGACAAAATTTACGTTACAAGTATATGTACGCGGAATCCGGATAAATGTTGTAAGTGGAATCCACTTACATGTTGGAACATGTTAAAATACTTGTCTGTAGAATCCAGGAACAAACAGACCCAAAATTGTGCTTCTATCCAGTGCTGTCGATCATAATGTTAGTCGATCATAATCGATTACTTTGGAATAAAGTTCAAACAAATTTCTTTGAACAAAAACTAACCCATTATGATCCATTATAATAAATTATTATCCATTGTTATAGTCTTTTTGTGGTATTTTCATTTTTTTCATGAGAAGTACGTTTAAATTTAAGATAGTCATTTTTGACCTAAAGAAATTTGAACTATTTCGTAATTTCAATCGCGTTTTAAAACATTCGTATGTATTTCTTAAATTTTTTATTTAGTTTTTTCGCTAACCCCACAATCTATACCACACCGTAACACCCATCCATGTTTGACCCCTTTCACAAAGCTAGCTATTTCGGTTGACGTTGGTCTGGGAGTATTTACTGGTCCTGGAGGTGGAGGTGATGATGGTCCTAGAGGTGGGATGTGTGGTGAAGGTGTATAGTGGGGCTTGGGGTAGTTAAATGTTGAGTAATATAAAAAGTAACAAAAATATCAAAGTTAGGGAGAAAAAAATTCAATTGGACAACAAGTTACCAACGTAACCAACTTTAATTTATAACGTAGCAAATACTTTATGTGCGTTGAAATTCGCATCCCAGTGAAAAGGAAAAAAAATCGATTATAGTTTAGTTTCATTGTCAGTGTCCACAAAAGTGAAAAAAAAATCGATTATAATGGATGAAAAAAAATTTTGTTGCCTCGAAAAATACTAATATTACAATCCATTTTTAATTGATTATAAATCAATTGGTTTCCTTTTTTGTGGACACTGACAAGGAAACTCAATTATAATCACTTTTTATTCATGGAAGTCCAATGCGGGCACGGGTGAAAAGAGTTGTAAAAAGGGTGATGCGGGCAAAATTAGGGACGTGGGGGGCACAGTTGGAGTGTATTGGGGTAGGGGCATAGTGAATGATGAGGGGGGGGGGGGGGGGCGATGTAGTTGGTTACACGTGGGGTAGTTATGGAACTTAGTTATGGTTATTATGGGGATTGAAGTGTTCGTTCGCGCTCGTTTTTTTTGCAGAAAACTGCAAAAAAAAAAACAGAATAAAATACAACAAAGTAAAACAACTAAGTAATAGTGCGAGCATCAATTCAACGGAATTCAAACGTAACCTAGCTGCAATGTTTACTCTTTTGTTAGAAAAAAATTATTTTTAACTTTAAATTTATCAATTTATTTGAACGTTTGAGTTGCAACTGACAAGTTTAGTTGCATGTATCAATCAGCAATTTTAGTTTTTAGCGTTGGACTTTTTTCAGAATACAATTCTTTCAAGAACCTTGCCAAATTTTTCATCCTTGAACCCAGTATAAGTCTTAGAATTGATGCTTAGTTATGCTTTTCAAATGATACCTTTTGAGCAAACATCTGAATTCTTACATTTTGTTTGTTAAAATTGATGGATATAGAGATGTGTAATTTTCTATAAACAAACACGTTACAAAGAAGACGGGTCTAATCAAGACAGTGAATTGAAAGCGAGAAAAACAAACAAAACAAGGTCATTTTGCCTGGTTATTGAACGAATTAGATGGTAAACGAATAATTGTTTCAAAATCGATTTTCCCTCAAATCAAACAAAACATGACCAACCGATGTAAAAACTAGGTTTCAAAATTTGGCCAAACTGGCTTCACTGTCTCTCCTAATTGTCTATTAAGTTCATTGTCTGGATCGACCCGCCCTCTCAATGTCAATTACCGCATACTTGTACCAAACAAGCTGAGAATTATTTGCGTTTCGCTCTATCAAACTCTGAGATAATTTTACTTGTTGTATTCACGTAGGTTCTCTTAAACCAAAAAAGATAACTTATTGTCGAAATTGGTCGGAACTTTTTTTTGTGGTTGAAATCTTTTTTTTTCAGTTTTTTTATTAACGCAAGTTTATTCTGTTCAGTTCACTTTTCAAATAGAATCAATTGATGAGACAATTCGACAGTAAATTATTTTCTCTGTCAAAGCTGGCTAGTTACTGAACTTTGAACATATTTGTCTTTGATCAAGGCTAAATCAATTATGTTTAACAATTCTACTGTAAATATTATCAATTTTAGAAAACAATTAAAATTCTGAGCGAAACTGTCACATATTTTTTTAAAAATTATGAGCCTTTTCTCCTTCTTTGCTTTAGTATTATTGAAATGTAAGTCCGTTTTAATATCATAAAAAGCGGAAAAATAATTAAAAAATGAACATTCGGAAAAATAAATGGTGAAGCCATTCCTACAGTTGAAATTTATCAAGGCGTTCAAATAGGCGAAATCAAATTGTGAGTTTTAACTTTGGAAGTCCCAAAAACGCTGGCGGCCAATTTGCTTGGGCTGACCTGGATAAACCAAAAATGCTTATCATACAATTCCATTACCTAATTTTATATAAATAAAGTTGTCAAACAATTTTCATACGTTTTGCTAAAAAGTTGTCATTGCACTTTCAGAGAGCTTTTTTGCGGTTTTGGCATAAAAATTGGTGTATTTATTAATCAGACAATTTAAAAAACTAATCAGACAATTTCCGTGTATGCAAATTATGCTTCTAGCATATTTGATTGCGGCAAAAAAAAAATTTAAAGTAGTTTCACAAACACCCCTCAACAGTTTTCTAACCGCAAAGTATTTTTGCTCTCAAATTATTATTTTATAAAAAAAAAATTTTGCATGCAAAGTTTAGTTTTTTGTGTGCGCAACGTAGTCCTGGATACACAAATTTTGAATTTTTCTCCTGTTTCTCTAGTTAACTTTTGTCAAAACGCCCATAACGCCTGCTTCTCTCTGTGGCTTGTGTTTCATGCCTTGATCAATGCCTAATTATTTAGAAATCCGAAACTTATAAAATATCATTTTTGAACGTTTTTGCCAAATTTTAAAAGTTTGATACTTTCATTATATCATTTGTGTAAGACGGCTCTAAGACAATTTAGGTCGTTTGCAACGCGTTGTAAGTGAACGAAAATCAATACTTGGGTGAGTTTTGTTTTGAGTTAACCAAGGCTTATGTCAATTGTATTAGGCTACGAATACAACCCAAATGCTTAGTGAAATTAAAAATAAAATAAAAAACTAATTTTTTGGTTTATAGAAAAATGCTAGTCATACAGTTTCCATACATGAAAAACCACTGCTGATAGAACTTTTATGCACTCTTTGTACTCATGGAAATGGATGAAAAGTGTTGGTAGTGCAATCTTTTTATATGAAAAATGATTGAGTAGCATTTTTCGTCTAAAACGGAGTGGTTGATTGGTTTATTACGTGTCTATTTTATGACTTGTCAACATTTGACTGCACTTCGATTGACTTCTTAGTGGAAATGTATTTCTTAAAATCGACAAATGTCACTTGTTTTTTTTTTCCAATGATCAGATAAAGCTTTACAAAAACAACAACAAATGCAAAAAATAAACAATCAAAAATGATTCTGTAATGTTATGAGATGTTTTTTGATTAGAGAGCTCGCTACAAAGAGTAGAACAATGGAAAATTAGAACTTTGTGCGTCAAGCTCTAAAGTGATATTGATATTTCGTTTTTAATTTCAAACTATTCTCAAACAATTTCCAATTTGGTTTCAGAAGTTCAAAATGGACGTAATACCGATCCAATTTTGTTGATATCTGTATGATTTTTAAAGCAGACAATTTTGGAATTGTAACATATAATTTTTGATAGTACTTTCAATACCAATTGACAGACAATGATGCATTGATTTCATACGTAAATATGCAAGTTGACATTATTTGACGCGTTAAAAAATTCATGTTATCAATTGACGCGCAGCAAGGTATCCTATTAATCCTCGTCAAAAAAACGTTTATTGTGCATTTGTATGTAACGGTAAAAATAAAGTATATTTAATAAACGTTTGTTTGAGGATTGTGTATAAATAGGGAGGATCTGGCTAGAATTTGTCGTTTTTTTGTCTAGATCGAACAGTTTGCTTTTTTTGGCGCACCCACAACACCAAAAAAACCCTACTTTTTTTTTTAAAATTGCCTCGCACGCAAGTTTTTGAAAACACTGGTCAAAAACGCTGGTTTTGGGCTGTTTTTTTTGAAAAGCTTTGACAAAAAATTGCGTTTTTTTGCGCGCGGTGCACTTCAACACTAGAATTTTGGCGCCAAAAGGTTTCATACAACAATTTCTGGGGTTGGTCGGCCAAAAACTTATACCTAATACTTTTGTTGGTGAGGGGGAAAATCCCTGAGGAAGAGGGCAATCGCACCCGCATCCCATCTTTGAACCCGCCTCTGTAAATTTGCCTCTATCTCCTTCAGTTATACTTTACGTCATTCATTTGCGGCCGACCAAACCTACGTTCTAACATTGAAGTAGACCGCGCGCCAAAAAATGCAAGTTTTTGGTCAAAAGTTTCAAAAAAGCCCAAAAATGCCGTTTTTTGACCATCTTTTTTGAAAGGTTGTATGCGGAGCAACGTTTTTTGTCAAATAACAGGTGTTTTTTGGTGTTTTTTGGTGTTTTGGGACACCATTTTCTGTCAAAAAACAGGTGTTTTTTGGTGTTATGGGAATTTTGAATTGTTCGACCTTACGAACACTGTCAAAAATTCTGTCAAAAAACATTTAACCCTAGATACGCACCTCTTTACGCAACTTACAAAAGACGTAAATCCAATATACTTTTTTAAAACTGTAATATACATAATACAACAACTTTTTTTTCTGGCAGACAAAATTGTTTGTCAGGTGAAAACCGGTTAGTTTCTTAAAACTTTTAATTGACAATAAGAGTATTTGCTTGCTGTGCAGGTATAATATCTAATCCAATCTTGTGTTTACAGTTTGAGAACACACAAAACTACTCAATAGTTTTATAATGCAGTCGGAAAATTTGGGGTTTTGCTCCGGCGCTAACAGTTGTGTGGTTTAGACCTCCGAAAAAAATGTTTGCGGTCGTGTTTTGTTTTTTTTCCGCTTTTTTCACCCACATTCGGCTACTTCAAGATACATCAAGAACATGGTTTGCGTGATATACCACATAAAAGCTCTTTCGACCGTAGTTAAAACGGCAAAAACTTCGGTATGCGAGTTTTTCACAGTGTTTAGAAATGTTTTTTTTTGGGTTGAAAATATGTTGAAATTTTTGCTCTGAGGATCAATTTTTAAAGTCATTAGGAAAATGTAGATATATAAAATTGAAATAGATCTTGAAATATAGAAGGTTAATTTGATACTCTGTGCATTCAATAAAACGTTTTGGGGATGGGACTTTGTACTAAGTAGAACATAGTTGAAAGATGCCCGAGGCCATCTTCAACTGTGTTCTAACAGTTGAAGAGTATGTTTTTGCTCTTTCTTAGGGAAAGATGCCAGAAAATTGAGACAGAGCCCGGAAAAATGTGAAGGAGCCCGGAAAAGTGCGCGAAACTATGCAAATGATTTTTTTTTCATTCATGCGTTCTGATATTTCATTTTTTATTCATGCCTGATCGTGAAAGAACATTTGTGAAAAAGCAAAAACGTACTCTTCTTTTAAAAGCGTCCTTTAAATGTGATGGAATTTCTCAGCCGGAATTACTCGCCACAAACTCTACGCTAAAACAAAAACTTTAAAAAGCTATCAAAGTTTGAAGGTTGAAGTAGTGTTTTTCAAATACCAAGAATCAACAACAATATGTGACGATGGAATAGATAGACCTATTGCTTTTGTCAACTTGAGTAAACTTTAAATGGAGAAAAAAATTAAATCTTTATTTAGGTGGCATAACCTTTTCAATCTTCGCAGATTTGACGGACTGGAAATCTATGATTTTTGTTCTCCCAAATTTGCGAATTGAAGGAGCTCACAGGTCCTGTGCTGAGTTGGGGTTCGTAACCTTTGAACTTTTTTTTTTGTCAAATCGAACAGTTCGTTTGGGTACTTTTACGAAAAAAAAACATGATAAGGCTATAAAAAATAGGGAAACTGACGATATATTAAAGAATTAAAGCACTGAATGCTAATACACTGCTGCAATAGAACGACTGACAAAAAACCGAGAAATGTGATGTTCGTTCAAGCCTTTGTTCAAGCCTTTGACAAATGCAATTGAAATCAATTGTAAATCCGGGAGAAAAAAATTAGCGTGACAATTTATCTAAAAGTTTAGCGGGCTGAATTCATTCGCATAAAGCAGAGCAGAGTTTTAAAGAAACAATGATAGGTCGTGAAAATTGATTTTTCTCCGGCAAATACATTTCATTTCGCTAAGTTTTTAACACGTCTTTTTTAGATAAATTTAAATTAAATGAGACAACGTTACCCTAATTCCTTTAAGGTAATTGGTAGTTACGATAAACTTTACCTCAAATTAGCCTTTAAAAAACGTAAGAAATATTTCTACTTAATTAAAATTTTGGTAACATCCAGTTAAATTTCGACAAGGTTTTCAAAAAAATATCTCAGAGAATTTTTTTTTTTCAAGAGAAGTACAAAAAGTGCTGGCCGCCATTAAAACTATTCAGAAAAGTACGACTAATATCACTTTAAAAAAGAAAAAAGGTGAAAATTTAGTGAAATATAGTTGCTTTTTTATGTTTCGACACCTATTTTGACCTCTATTTTTCTAAAAGCGCTTCGCCCTAACATATCTGACAAGGTATTGTGAGATGCAATTGTTTTTTAGCATATTAAACTTTTTGAGCGCAACCAAAGCAAATCTAATGGAAACAGTTTAAATTCCGATCAATGCTGTTTTTGATAAAACTTTAAATTTTTGAAGCTTTCATGGCAATCTATTGACCTTATTTTTTCAAATACTTGTTGTGTATATTGGGGTATAGGTTTGAAAAATTGCTTGCCTTAAACGAACATCGAACCACCTCAACTACTGCCTTAAATCACCAAAAGTTTACCTTAAAACTAGCAGGGGAATTACTTTAAATTTTAGCATAAGTCGGCCCAAATTTTACCTGAACTGCTTAGGTGAACCTTCTGTTAATACGAACTTTTAAGGCAAATTTGGGTTAACGTATTGTAAAATTCAAAGTATTTTCATCTCAAATTTTACGTGAAAGTTGAGGTAATAGTTCAAAGTAGTTTTACCTTCCTAGCTTAGGTGCCTTTTTCAGGTAAACTTGGGTTGACTTAAAAAGAAATTAGGTTAGTTCCCACAATTTTTAAGGTAAAATTTAATTTTCAGGTGAGTTATGATAGTAGTTGAGGTGTCTTGATGTAAGGTTAAGGTGAACACTTTTTGTCATAACCGTTGTGGCAAAATAAAGTTTTTTTTTAAAGGTAAGCTTACCTCAAAGTTTTGAAAACTGTACACGTAGTTTTTCAAAGGAATCCTAATTTCTAATCGAGGCCTAAAATTTCCTAAAAACGGACTATAATGTTAACTTTCTGTTTTATGTCTTTCTAAATGGCGGAATAATCTCAACACTGCAATTAGTACCTTGAAAATCGATGTAGCAGATAAGACCAATGAGTGACGTTTTGGGTGGTAAGGGAGTCGAATTCCTAAGAGAAGGATGTCTTCTTTCCTCCCTGTCTCGGTCTCTGGTTGTTTGGATTTAGAAACTATGGAGTTGAGAAATAGGCTTCATTTCAGATATTTGTTCTGCTACATTGGCTTTGTGGTTGACAGCAGGCAGAGTCCTCGCATCCCCCACTCGTTTGACTATGCCCAGTTCTACCAGCTGATTCGACCAGTGCACAAAAAAATCAACTGGATCTCACTCTCACAAAGAAACGCATTTGGTGAGTCTCAAAATCAGTTATTTAAAAAACTATATTCTAGGAAAACTGTTGTCTTTAAATTCTAAAAAATTGGATAGTTCGAAGCAAAGGTTTGTAAAAAATCTAGAAAGTTGTAAAAGTCTATGCAAAAAATGCGAGAAAAAAACCGATCAAAGGTTCGATAGATTTCACACTCGACGCCGAGTAATCAAAAATCCTTATCATTGTTCGGATTCGGACCACTAAAATTGGGGAGGAAACTTGGTATTCGGGTGTGTTTTGCTCATATCATAAAAAATCTCATAAAAAAAGACCGAGTGATATAACATATTAAACTCCTTGCATTCGTTATTCAAACCCTAACAAAAGTTTACCAAAAAAATCCGCAGTGTTGGGAAAAATCAATTTATAGTCTTATTCCGATTTAATTAAGCGAGTGAAGTGAACAAGCTTATATTACGGAAATAAGACTTAGAAACTTAGTCTGACTGCAGAATTTTTTGAAGCTTCTTTTAACGCCTTCTTGACAAAAAATGCAAAAAAATCTGTATAAATTACATTGTTTTAAAAAAATTTTGATGAAAAGCGTTGTTATGTTCTTGTGTTCTACTCTTACTATCGAATGTCTTTTTTTAGGTTTTTGTTCGGATCCTAATCGAGCGAACAAAAAATTTACAGTTTGACCTGAACATACGTTTTTTTAATTTGTAGTCGGAACTTTCTGTGCTACTTAAACATCAATAGTTTTTTTTTTTTTACAATTTTATAATAAAATGAAATCCAACAGAATAACCACAGACGTCAATAAACCTTGACATAACGATTTATTACGGAAATTTATTTGAAACTAGCAATTCTGCATATTGTCAGCAACATGTATTCGCCCTTGCAAAGAATAACCTAAGTCTTGCTACTTGAATGAATATAATTCTTTTGCGAGATAAGTTGATAGCATATCATACGGCAAAATGTGTCAATTTTTGACTGATTTTTCTTATACGTTAAGCTTGTTCAATCCCTGTTCCAAAGAAAAAGCCCCCAGTGGCAGCCTTTCAGTAATTTTTTATATGCTTTATTGAACAGAAACTCAAGGAGGTCTTATGACAATTGTAGAGCAATTACAAAAAACATTGCTTGCTTTTGGTTAGCTTTTACTTGTTTTCTAGAGCGTGGCGGTTGTTGTCATGACCAGACTGAAATTTACCAGAAATACGGGCAGAGAAATGGCATGACCCCTCTAGAATACTCCTCCAATGCCACCGACTTCAGAAGCCGCAGAAAGAAACTTAATGTAGTGGAGGTTGGAGAATTTAGTCTCAAATTTGAATTCTCAAGTAATGCCTCAGTCAAAGAAATCGAATATTCGGTTTCTGTACAAAACAGTCCCATACTAAACAGTCCAAAACAGTCCGGAAAAGTATGAAAATCAACAGAAAAAACAGTCCTATACAAAATAGTCCGAAAAATAGTCCCAAGTTATAATTGTTTTAACAAGCCGGTAGGGCAAGAATTGTCCTTTGTTCAACTAACATAAAGAACAAAATAGTGACCGCTGCAGTCGTGCCAAGGTGTTGCGAGCTTGCCAACAGAGTGTAAGACTGAATTAAAAAATTAGAGCCGGTTATCGCCGCAAAAACAAAAAATTCGTCTCTATCGCCGGTTATCGTCTCTATTTTATTTAGAAAAAAACTTGAAGGTTAAAAAAATCTTAGCTCCGAATAGAACCGAATCATTGAGATACCAGAGTTACTTTTTTTCAAAATCATATTCTATTTTTTTGAAAAGTGGATTGGCTTAATGCAGTTCAAACCAACTAATTTTACTCCATGATGTACCCATAAGATATTCTTTCTCTATTACCACTTATATATAACAAATGGTTATGAGAAGATTTTGTCACAGATCTAAAAGAAGCTGATAAAATTCTCACAGCCTTCATTTACAAATAATAAGAACTTTTTTTAAGAGTTTTCAATGACTTTAAGAAAAATACGAACTCATCTATGACACAGTAGTGCAAATCTCAATTACTTTTGAATCTATCAAAATACATGGATAAGAATTGGTTGAAGCTGGTCAATATTACAGTTGTGTTTTTCTAAACTAAGCAATAATAAAGTTGAAATAGCAAACACTTTTTTGATCAGCTGCATCAATTCGGAATTTTTTCACAATGGAAATTAGTTTAAGGCGAGACTTGAGAAGGAAATTGCCAGTGGGGAGGGAAAAGGGTTCAAGCTGCTCATTCCAAGACGACGTAAATCTCCGCTTACACATTAATAGCGCGAAATATATCGCGCGTTAATTGTCCAAAATTGGCCAAAATGGCAATCTCTAAACCCCATAACTTTACGATATCTTTTCAAATTTAAACTCAGTATCTTTAAACCCCATAACTTTATGAAATCTTTTCAAATTTAAACTCTCAACAATATTTTTTGAATGATATATAAATAATCCGTCAAAAATAAAAATAATCCGTGTTTTTTTTTGGTTATACTACCCTACAATGATTTTAATCGTGGCTCATTTTTTGATATCATAAAAATGAAGCAAACGCAATGTTTTTAACCATCACTGGTGTTGTTTCGCAATCATCTAACAAAGTTACTAACAATAAAAAAAAATTGATTTTTTTGGCAAGTTTTTATGGATATATGAGAAGAACAAAAAAAAATAAAAGCGCCAGTATAGATGAAAATGGTTACTTTTGGGGCTACTACGTTCTGCCGGACCAAGATCCTCGACTCTTTTGCCCCAAGAAAAACTTGTTCCACTTTGCCCGACAAATTTGTTTCAACAATCTTGACAAAAAAATCGATATGTTACGCAACTCTTGTTTTTTTCGACCAAAATCTTCAATTTTTTGCACAATATAAGTGGCGTCTGCAAGAAGTTTTGGAGAAAACTCCGGTCAAAAAACACGTTTTTACTGGCGTATTCTTATGAAAAAAAACTTGTATTGCAAAATTGCCAGTCGTAAAAACTCTGTGTGCTTGAAAGTGGTGCGATATTTATTTTTTCCTTGATTTTTATGTGTTGATTAGTTGAGACCCGGGCTTAAGTGCTCGACTTATTTTCCGACCATCTTGATCGCGTCTCGTTATAATTTGACTTTCTTGACCTATAAAGTATAAATTTAGTCAGTGAAAATTTTTTTAAAACTTTATAGTTTGAAACTTTGTTTCAACGTTTTTAAACAAATTTGGATTGAAATTGCTGGTCTCAAAAATATCTACAATGAAACTGCTGGTCTCAAAAATATCTACAAACATCTTAATTTTTACTGCAATCTACTATTTCTCACCACGGCTGAGATTTTTGACCTTTTACTCGCTGAGGTTTTCATTGAGCATTCATTTTTGGTCTGTTTTCTTTAAAAAAAAATTTCTCGTGTTTTGAATTTGAACTTGAACTAAAATTTCTTCTCAACCTGCATTAAACTGCTAGCATTTAATGATAATACCGATCGATTACATAACGTATTCTTTTTCAGTCCGTATACAACGAAGAACTTTGTGTTAACCGCATCAACATAGTTGGATTCGGACAGGGCGGACTCAAATTGATAGGCGGATCTGAGCAGGCCCCTTACGTTATAAGAACAAACAGCTCAATTTACGTGTTTCATAGAGGCACACTTAAGCGAAAGCTGAATTTCGATTGGTTCAAAAGCAAATTGTTTTGTAGAAGTCAACCTTGGGTTTGTGAAGAGTTTCCCATTGATAGTCCTGCAGAGCTGGACAGTTAAAATGGACTTTTTGTCTCTATTCCATTGAGCTGAACCAATGAATTGTAAGAACTGAAGTGTTATTCGGTGAAAGAAAGGAAATTTAAACACATATTTTGATTTGCTATATTTTTCAAGGAAAGCTGATAGGAAAACTGACAGTCTTCAAAGCCAAGTAAAAGCTTCTTTCGGGACTTTTATTCAGTCACATGACATAAAAATACAACATTTTGATTTCAACCAGCAAATGATTAAATTTTGGATCTGCTCAACAGTCTCCTCCTTTTCAAGAAAAAGGCCAGATTGTTAAATAGATTAAGTTTAATAGATTAAGAAGAACTTTTGACCAATTAGAATGTAGCAAATTCAGAATTCATAATTCAAAGCTCTAGTGCTAATTCACTGTATCTATTTCGAGGAGTAGAGATTCTTTAGTAGATATCAGAGAGCGCAAGATTGTTAAGTAGATATCGAAATATTCCTTCAAGTTTTTGTAGTTATCTCCGCAAATATTTAGAATATGGTATGAAATTTTGATTGATGATTGAGGAAACTACTTTGACTTGGTCAAAGTTTAATAACTGTTTGCGGTGAAATAAATCATCGCAAACAACACAAGAATTTATGAGCTGAATTTGGTTCTTTGGGAAGCAGATGAGCTTTACTTACTTTTTCTGCCGCCGCGGAAAATTTACAAAAAAGGAAAGAGTCACCTGAACCAAAAATAGTGTTGACCCAATAAATGTCACTTGAATCAAAAAATATCTGTTATGACAATACAGACATTATAAGATCTCGGGCACTGATACCAGAGATTCGCGTATAAATTACAGATAACGTAACAGCTTATAAGAAATCTGTGCATGGAATGAACCAATCGTTATTCCGAATTTTTTTGAAGCAGCATTTCTTTTTATTGGCCTATATCGATCGCAAGAGCGAATTACTCACAATTTTTAGCCGTTTTTTGAGGCCGGGCTAAGTTTTCTGCAATTTGTTGGCAGCACAAAGTTTTTTTCAAGCTCATCAGTGTCCTAAAAATCCAATTTGTGCCCAAGAAAGTTTTGCGTTGGTTGCAAAGAAACACATGTGAAAATTTTCATGACACCACTAAATCCTTTAAAAAAAATTTAATCTAGCATGAGCAAAAACTCAACCCATTCATTGAACAGTTGCACAAAACTACAAAAAGTTGAAGCAAAAATTCGTTTAATTACTCGTTGGAATTAAAACTTTGCTACTTCTTTGTTCCATGACTGTACTAAATTGCTCAAATAAATTTTACCAATGAACTGACACTTATGTGATTGACACTCATTTGCTAACATCAGTTAAACAGACTCAATTACCAAGTTTATGCATTTCAAGTAACATCCCGACATTATTTGTTTCGCCATCTAGCACATACACACACGCACAAATACCACTTACCGCGATAGAGGGCGTTATTTCCATGCCCGACATTAAAACTTTACTAAAGACTAAAGGACTAAAGGCGCCAAAATAAACTAATTTTGAGAGGGAGCGTGCGCAAAAAAAAACTCAGATTTTGTCAAAGTTTTTCATTGCTCGTCAAAACTTTCTAGGAGTGCTCGGAAACTCCTTTTGGTCGATCTTTGAAAAACTTATTTTTGAACTACCTCGGCATCACTCCCAAACCCACATTCAAACTTGCATCCCCACCCGCGCAAAGATCTACCCACAATTAAATGGCCGTAATTACCTCAACATAGAAACCCCGCATTTTAACCCTTAACTAATACGCCATCATTACTTCAACAATTTCGTTTGCCCGATTCAAACTCCTCCCCCGCCAACATATACAACACACGCAACTCATACTCCACCCACACCTTTACATATTGATCCAATTACATCTACCTCACCATAGGAACCTCACCACAATGCTCCCGATATACACCCTTTCCACCAACATTAGTCATCACATTAACCACACGCTGTTAATTTGCGATATTTACATGAACATTGCCTCCGCCTCCCCTTAATTTTAACCCGTCAAGTTTAATTTCTTACCTTACCATAGTTACTTCGCCGATTCCGCGCCTCCAGCTAACCACCTCACATGCCCCCCCCCCCCCCCAAAGAGCACAGTCCTCAAGTTGATCCCCCACCTTTGCCTCACGATAAACACTTCTTCGTTAAATTAGCGCCAACCCCACAGTCCACAATTACCTCACCAAAGACTCAACTCAGTGCTACCGAACCATCGCCCACATACCTTAGCACCAAAACCCCCTTATCTTCCTCCCAGCGTACAACCCCACATGCCGCCCTCCCCCACTTTTAACCTCCCCCCCTCCCTCAACATACACACACACGCACAAATACCACTTACCGCGATAGAGGGCGTTATTGTGGGGGGAGGTGTAAGAATAGGTGGTAAAAGTAAACTAGGATTTGAATAGCGGAAGGGATGAAAGGGTTACAAAGGAGCTGGTTGTAATGGAGGTAAGTGGTAAGGTAAAGTTTGAGTATTCATGTGGTTCTAATGGCGCAGGGCTGTTAAGAGGGCATCTTCCTCAAGACAACTTATAAAAGTTTGTAGGATAAGAAATCGAAAAATTCATACATTACGAGGCCAAACTGTAAACTGGATAGGCGCCCAAATTTGTGTCTGTATGTTCCTGGATTCCAGAGACAAACCTTTAAACATGTTCCAAAATGTCAGTGGA